CAGAGGAGAGGTACAAGCCACCCTTTTACTTCAGGCTCCAATGAGTTTCTTGAGGAATGCCTCCAGCTGATCCTCATCCTTTATGCCCACGAACTTATCCACAACGTCTCCGTTCTTCATAGCCAGCACAGTTGGCACTGCTGACACCTGGGGGCAAGAGAAACAGGGAGACACAGGTTGAGCAGAAGCTGTGGGGAGCCCAGCTGCACTGGGTCCCCAAATGGAACTCTACAGAAGTGGCTACAAGGGAGCTGAGCATACACTGCTCTAGGGTAAGATGTCCACTTGCCAAACAGGCCAGCTGAGCTCCATGTTCCTCCTCTCCCTGTGGCCTCATCTCTGCACTGACTTACAGCACACTGCTTAAGTCAAGGCTGAGCTGCTTTTTGAGTTTAAATTTTTAAAGACTATGCCAAACCTAATATAAAAATGAGGCAAGGCTGTTCCCACCTCTCCAGTACAAATTCCTCTTCTCCTTCCCTTTTGTCCTATCATAAGCGAACAAATCCAGGACACCTCTCAGACATGATGACCTTTGGACATTTTGTAGCCAGGGCAGCATCAGACTGGACCTCTGTTCTTCTCCAGACAAGACTGGAGCTGGAAGATGGTCCCACCCCATCACTGCACTGGTAGATTTCCTGCTCCATCATATCATGGTAAAGACAATTACCAACCCATCTTTCCTTTTCCACTCCTGTTTTCAGTGGTTCCTCTGGTCACACACCAGTGGCCACCCACTGCAGATCCCTGACAATTAACTAAGAAGTGAAGAAGTCCCTCTGACCAGAGCCAGCAGGCAGCTGTGCTGCTCTGGGCACTGCTTTTTTAGCTCAGAACAAAGTTTTCTGGGAATTATTCAAGAGAACAGTGTTGAAAATGACAACATTCCCCAAGGACTTGCTGGTTGACTGGTGACAGCAGAGACCCCAGGGACACGACTGAGAGAAGGAACAATCAGAGTTGGGAGAGCTGCAGCACTAGAAGATCTGGTCACATTTATGACCCTACAGCTTCAATGCCCTTATCTCTGCAAAGTCTCCCCCCCAAAACATGTCCTGTCCTTATCTCACCCGCTGACTCTCCTCCAGCCTGCGGGGCCTTCCCATTTGCACTGCCAGCCTTGCTGCCAAAAAGAATCTGCAAATCCCTCCTCTGGGAACCCACCAGAGGGCTGGCTTTTCTCCCATTGGGAGCCCGAGATGAAAGGGACATTTTGTTTTCTTCCCTTCCCACCCAGTCCCAGCCAGACTCTGCAGTCTGTTCTTCAGGGCTTTGCAGTCTCATCTGAAGCGATGGGAGCACCGGGGCTGCTGCAAAGCAGGATCTTCAGCTCCTCCTAGTGACTGGAGGGAGCACATCCACAGGGCTTGGGCCCCAGCGCTGGCAATGGTGCCATCAACATGTTCCCTTGTGGTTTTAGGTGCGAGAAAGGGCAGTACCAGCATGGCACTCAACTGTTGCTCCCTTCCTGAGAAGGGCAAACCTCCACTGAGCCTCCCTCTGCTTTGCACAGTGGGTTAATGTCGAGCAGAGTTGCCCCAGCTCCATCCAAAAAAACCAGCAATGGCAAGCATCAGGCCATTAGGGCCTGGGTGAGGAACAGGCGAATCTTGGAAGCATTACAGAGAAGCAGCCAACTGGGCCCTGCGTGCCAACCAGAGCACCCATGAGCTTCACACAGCCTCAATCTCTTCATCTCTTTCCCTCTTCGTGCTGGTGAGCAAACCCCGAGGAAGAGTGGATGGTCTGTGCCTGATGCTGCAGAGCCAGGCAAGAAACAGGGGCATGGAGCAACTTGCCTCTGCCCAGAAAACACGATGCTTTTGTCAGCTTTCTTCCTGCCAGCTGCAGCAAGGGCAGCCCATTAACGGAGCATGCACTTTGTTTTGCTGGTTGAGAAGCAAATGTCATGAGAATTTTAGAATGCAAAGTTGAGGGCGTTTTTTTATTTTTTTCCCCTTCTTTTTTTGGGTCCCATCTGCACTGAACCTAAACAAACTTTCTTCCTCTCTCAAGAGCATTTCTACAGAAAAAGTCAGTCTGCTTTTGATTAGTGCTGACCACACAAATAAACAAACATGGACATCCAGGTTATTCCTGGCACCACCCGCACCAAGGAAATTCTCTGCCATCTAAAACTGGGGCTTTCATACAAACTTGGATGCCACACAACAGAGCAGAGAGGATTTCACCCAGGCCTACAAATGAGGTGGTAACACAGGATGGAGCTCTGTTGATGAATGACCATCTCTGTACCCAGCAGCTGAGCTGCCCACCCACAGTGGCTGGAGAAGGGGCTGCCCTTTCCCAGTGGCCACACACAGAGGCAACTGGCCAAGGCAAGAGATGAATCTAAAGAATTTTAAGAGACTGAAGATAAACAAAAGTATTTCTTCCCCCTTTCTGCTCTTGAGGTGAGAGGTCAGGAGCAGGCTGGAGCAGTGGAGACAGGCCCCAACCAGAGATGAAAGGTGTTAGATACAAGGAGGAGTCCCCAGAGAAAGAACTTTTGTGCTGGGCATAACTGGATGGGGAAGGGCACTGGGGACATTACTAGTGGCAGGAAATGCATCCGTGCTTCGTGCTAAGCCAGGATGGCTGGGAGCCAAGGGCAGCTGGCCACTTGTGTAGAGGAATGCGCTAGCATTCCTCGGCTCTTCCACAGGGTCTCCCCCTCATCCTGCCTCCCCCTGTACCAAGGAGGCTGCTGACAAGGACATTGTGCAATCAAGCAGCAAGATGGGGGCTGTGTGTGTACGTGGGCAAGGGAAAAAACATGGATGGAAGGAGACTTCCTGGGAGCTAGTGAAGGAGTTGTGGGGGTGGCATGGACACTGAAAACCCCCAAAACAAAAACTTTCGCCTGCAGACATCTGATCTGCAATGGAATGGCTTTAAAACAAATGTTTGCTGATCCCTCCTAAATATCACCTTTGGTTTTCCTGATCTCTCCCAAACACTGTCTTTGGTCCCTCTTTGATCTTGACTTGGTGTCTTCCCATCAGCCCTTACACCCACATCTTTTTAAGAGGCAACTTCCCAGAAGATGAAGCAAAATCAAGCACGTGCTAAGCACATGAACCAAACTTCTGCCTTGGAAAGGATGCCCCAAACTAGGAAGATCAAAGCAAAAATTTCTCCATTACCCCTGCCTGTTTGCAGCTATCCTACTCACAGACACTGCCTAGGGTTGGGGCTTTAGCCATGGGGATAATGGCCCAGACAAGACATACGCATCACCACAAAAGCAGAGGAGGCAGCGATAATCCCCAGGCCCTCTTACAAGACAAAATCTTCATCATGTTTGTATATAAGGCTCCAGAATGAACTGCTAGAAGCTGACCCTTCCCTGCAGCCTCAGTCTTGCCTGCCCCCCTCCCCCAGGGCTGCCAGAAAGGCAGACCCTGCACACAAACATGTGCACACAGCAGACGGTGCAGCTGCTCACTCACCACCCTGTGGGAGAGCACACGCAGTGTGTCATCAAACCTGCACAACTTGGGACTTTCAGCCTCTTTTCACAGAACTTCCTTCATATGCACACACCCTGCTTGCCATTTTCCACTCACCTGAGATTATCCTCTTGTAATCCCAGCTAATTCGATCTACTGGAAGGCTTGGAACAATACAAGACTTGAGATAATAATCTCTATTCTCTTCTTAGCATGGCCGCTACCAGAGCCTGGCCTGCATCTGTTAGGATTTACACACTTTTTGACCACCACTAAAAACACCTCGCCCTCTTCAACTCCTCACCAGGACCCTTCTGCTACACAGCCTATGGGCTTGCAGTAGCCAGCCCTGCTCAGGAGCCATCAGCCACCTTCCTTGGCCTGGGGCGTATCTGCCAGCATGTGTCCACCAAGGAGAACACCAGAGGCTCTTGTGCTCAGCCTATGGGAGCTGCAAGTCATGACTGTAGGCACCAGCTGTGTGGACACGCCACCACAGCACAGGCAAAAACATCTCCCTCAGGAAAGAGTGGGAGGGAACAAGCTGTTTCCACTTCCGTCTCCTTCTGGCTTGGCAGGGTGTGGGAATGGCATACAGTGTCTTCTCCAGGCTCAACAAAATGACAGCTTGCTCAAGAGATGGTTCACTCTTTGCAGGGCAGCTCGAGGAGCTTCCTGAGCTAGCATCCACCCTGGGAGCAGGACTTCATCTGCAGAGGGGGAGCAGATCCATCTGCGTGACACTTAATTAAGCACTTTCTTTCCCGTAAAAGACAACAGCAGGATGCCCCAACTCCACAGATAGAGTTGTTGTTTACAAGGAGAGAAAACAGAAGTGAGCACAGTCGTCAGAGAAGCTTTTGTATTTTTTAAACTACCTAATCACTGACACAGGGAAAAAATAACTAAATCGTGTAAACCTAAAGCCTTCTCCAGTTGTTCTGCTCCTTCCTTGGAGAAAGGCAGCACAGGGAACACATCCAGCAGTGGCGTTAACACATTAGTGTAAGCACCAAGGTCCCTCCTGTCAAGAGCAAGATGCATGCTCCTGTTGTTTATGTGTGTTTCCTGACCTGGCTTCTACCTGTCCAAACAAAACTCACAGTGTCTCCTTGTGCTGCAACTTAAGGATGGGATGTTATGACCCAGCTAGAGATCCTGAACAAGGAAGGGAAAGAGAGGATGGGCCAGTGGCACAAAGAACCACTTTCAGTAGCAGAGCAGATTGGGGATTGTTACTTTACATTCTTGCCCTGCACTTGAGCAGCCCAGGCTCACAGCAAAATGCTGCATGCGCTTCAGGCTCCTCAAGGCCAGGCAAGTGACAGATGCCTGCAAGGCCTAGAAGACACCTTTGTGCAGAATCAGAGGTGGGGATGCTGAGCATGACCAGCAGAGCTGGAGAAGAGTCAAGCAGCAAAATCCACCTACTAACAAGAGATCCAGTAGGCACTGGGCTTCCCCTCCCCTCCAATGCTGCTGCCATGCAGGCACAGCTTTCCACAGGGAGGGACATTCTTGGTGCTGCCAGCCAAAGAAAGTCTGTGCTCTTCCATCTCCTACCTCATACTCGATAGCAAGGTCTGTGTGATCATCAATGTCCACCTTGGCCATCACCACCTTCCCCTCCTGCTTGGCCACCATCTTCTCTAATCTGGGGCCTAGGATCTTGCAGGGACCACACCACCTGATGGAGCAAGAAAAGAGAGGGGACATTAGAGGACGCAAGCACAGCAACAGCCATGGAGGATGTGCTGGTATGCCGGTGCTGCTCCATTCGGGAGCCAGCCTGGAAACACCATTCCTGAACCACAGCTTTGAAAAACACTCCTCTCACAAAGGAGCTGCCAAAGGCATTAAGGAAGCTTCATGTTTAACCATCCAGAAGCCACTCTGGCAGTCACACTCGAACCACCTGAGCTGAGGCCCCTTCACAGCTACACACCCCACACTCGCACTCAGACCAGGTTTCCTTGCTGGCTCAACCCCAGGTTTCCCGTAGCAGTGTCTCAGATGTCCCCATCCTTAAAACAAACAGATGAAGCTGGTGCCTTTGAGGAAGAACCCTGAACAATGGAACCCTTGGGCTTTTATCCCCTCACAGTCTAAGCCCAGGACAGGCAGCTCCTGCTGTGTCTCTGAGTGTCAGGTCACCTGGCTGGGCCACATGTCCCCAGGCCCTTGTTGTGCAAAGGGTCAGCAGTTCACAGCCTCTTGCCTGGGGCTTCCAGAGGTCAACCTGCAGCTCCCCTGCAACTGCACCCTGAGAGACACCTGCACTGAATGTATTCCTCAACAAAGGGTTTTTTCTGTGTGTGTGGTGGAGGGGCTGAGTGGAAGAAGAGTTCACCATCCAGCATTTGTGGTGCTTTAGATGTCATTTCGATCACACCGCAGTCTGCTTTGCCAGCCTTGTTCGTTCTCCTGCCCTCTTCTTGTTCACCCCCACCGGGCTTTACATCCACATGCAGAGCTGTGATCCTGCTGCCCTGGAGCCAGTGTTGCTGCCGGGCACTAGGCTCGCAGACCACACCCAAATCAGTTTATGCCAATCACCAAATCACAGATTTCCCCTCCATGCTCATTGCAGGGTTTACAGAGACCCCCTTTAGCTGCAAAACTTGCAGAGGCATTGCATCTGTTCAAAGGGAGACCATCTAATCCAGACCCAGGTGCAGCAGTAGCAGGCTTTGTGAGGCCCTGGACACTCCCTGCATGCTCTAACTGCATCAGCTAGGATAGTATGAACTTACTGAGTTCAAGCAAAACATGAGTTAAAGCTCTAAGTGCCCTTTTCTTATAGAATTGAAGCTCTGGTGAACTTTGCTCCTCCTCAGCCTCCCTCTCTATCAAGTTTCACACTTTCAGTTATTTGTCCTCTCCTCCCTGGATGATCCCAGCTAAACTTCACTTTGCTTTGCCAGCTCGGTCTGTTTAGAGCAGAAGTTTTTGGGCTGTTTCGTACTCTGTTTGCCCTCAATCAGCCATAACAGGCTCATGTGACAGCACTGCAGGACTACGAAAACACATGAAAAAAATAATCAGTGTCGTTAATCCAGCAGATAATATCTAGGAATATTTTTACTGGCAAAAGGATGACAACATTTTTGTTGATGACAAATGCTGCTGTTGGTGTCACAGGGCTGTTATTAACACAAAGGCAATTGCTGTCAAGAGCCTCAAGAGCAAGCAGCCTTAGGAAACCTGGAAAGACACAACGTGGCAGTGCCAGGGCAGAGCAAGTGCACAGCTCCTCCGTGGCTGTTAACAACATTTAATGTTTCTAAGAGAACATTTCATCCCAAAAGCTAAATAGGGGAGAGATCGGAATTTTTTCCTGAGGTATCTTTTGCAAGATGATGCAATGCCGGGGGCAGGGTGACACCTGAGCACTTGGGAGGTGCAACAACGCCACCCTGGGGAAAGCCTTCCTGGCACTGCTGTTTGACACCGCTGCAGGGCACAGCTGTGAGTGAAATCTTTACGGATTGAGCTCCATGGGCAAAATCACCCTGTAACACCAGAACCCACAGCCTGGGAAGCCCTCGGGCCTGCTCCTCCCTGGTGTGCCCGGAGTGCCACCGTGCCAGGAAACTCAGGGCACACCTGCACATGTGACAGTGGAGAGAGGGGAACTTACTGTGCATGGAAATCCACCACCACGGGTTTGGGGCTGTTCACCACTCTGTCTTGGAAGTCGCTGCCATCCTGCACATTGAAGGTGCTCCTGCGGCCCGCCGAGGTGCCAAAGGCCCTGCCGGGGGGTGCCGGAGGACCCCGCGGGGTGAGGGACAGCAGCCGCCGCAGCGCCAGCCTCTGGGCCATCTGTGGGGACAGCGGGAGGTTCGTGGGGTGGGGGGCCCTCCACGGCTGGTCCCACTGCGGCAGCGCCCCGAGCCGAGTGCGCTCGGCAGGGCAGCCCCCAGGGCAGGAGGTGCCCGGGAGAGACACTGATGGGATATCACATGGGAGCGCTCCCTGCCCCTGTGCTCAGCCCGACATCCCCTGCAGCTCCGGCCCCACGGCCACAGGGCCTCCACCGGGATCCCAGCTCCAGGCGCAGGGCGCCGTTTCCCCGAGTCTCCCTGCCACAGTACGTGCCTTCCCACCCCCAGGGCAGCCCCAGTACCGCGGGGCTCCTCCAGCCGGTGCGTCCCGGCAGCTCCCGCAGTGACAGGGCCCCGAGCCCCCCAGCCCGGTGAGGGAGGACAGTCCCCCTCTGGCCCCTGAGGACAGGGCGCCTCAGCCCGAAGAGTCCCCCCCGATCCCCTCGCACCTTCCCAGCCCGGAGGTGACCCGCGCCCAGCCGCACTTCCGCCCGTCGCCCCGCCCACCTGCGCGCTTATTGGCCGCAGCCACCGGATGGCTGCGAAAGACGGCACCACCGCCCCCCTCAGCCGATTGGCCGCCGCCCCAAGGGCTGGTCATCTCTGACTGGCCGCCGTGCCCGTCCTTCAAGCCGCTTCGCTCCGCCCCCGTGGGCGCCGGCGGGCTGCTTCACGCGGGGCAAACTCCGAGCGCTGATTGGAACAAGTCCAATTGGGAGTGAGTGGCAGCAAAACCTCTGGGGTTTGAGTCACCAGATCAAACCCTGGAGACATGCAGAGCATGCTGGAAGAGTTGGTAGGTGCTGGTTTTTTAGACCATCACTTTTCTAAAGGAAATCACAATGTAAGGCAACATGTACACTGTGCATGTACAGATTCACATTTTCCTGAGGGAATTTGAGGATGGAAGAGGAAACAGCTGGAGAATGTGCATGTGTGTAGGTACAACAGGGATGCACTCTGTGTCAGCACACACAGAGAACAAATGAAACAGGCTCCTGGGGACAGCTGGTCAACCCAATTCAGCCACAGGCCTTTTTCTTCCCCTGGACAATTCCAAAATAAAAAGCCCATGGTGCCAAGGATGTTGCAAGTAGTAACATCACCCAGGCAACTACAGGCCACGAGAGCCATTCCTGGTCTGGCCTTGGAGCTGCGGCAATGGGATGTAAAACCCACAGAAGGATGCTGATTGATGCCAACTGAGGTGATTGTTTCCCCTCTCCAGTTGCACATGAACAGGTGAGATCTTCCAGAAGCAGCAGCATTGCTAGCACAGCTCAGTACTCCCAAAGAGTGCAAGAAATCCTTTGTCATGTCCTTCACCTCTTCTGCTCCCCAGCCTCTCCAAGAAACTGGGGTTTTACAGAAACAGTAACTGAATTCAAAGGATTGGGAGAGCTTTAGGTACATGTAAGGTACAGCCCCCTCCAGTCTGGAAGCACAAGTGTATATTTTTTGAGAAGCTAAGGTGTTGGAAAACATGTGTGGAGGTAAACGCCTGTTCCCTCTCGCCCCTCCTCTATTTCCTAGAAATCACAGGGATATCATAAGGTCAAGCTGAAAACTGATTTTGCTTTGCCACTCCAGGGTCATGGAAGAAGCCCACAGGGAGGAGACAGGCAAGTGCATGTAGCTGACAGGGGGAGCAGTAAAGTGTAGCCAGACTCCCAGACACTCCCTGTAGGATCTCAAGGTGACTCAATGGGAATAAATTAGAGAAGGAGCATTTTAACAACGTCAAACTTTCTTGATGGGACATAGTGCAAACAGCAGAAATATTGGTCATGCTTTATAAAAGACAAAGGGCTAACCTTCCAGGCTGCCTGGTGTGGGAGAAGAAAAACATGAGGGCAGCGTAGCTGAAGTCAGTGTCAGTCTCTGTGTCCCAGGCATTCCAGGCAAGCTACTCATCCACTGTGGAGGGAAGGGTCCCTTGTAGTGCTCTCTGGGAAATGACAAATTATCTGACCTATATGGTAACTAAAAAACACCCCTCCCACTGAAGCTACACAACTGCCCTAACAAATGCAAGAAAAATACTGGAAGTTTGCCCAGAGTACCACTTCGGGACCCGATGCAGGAACAAATCTTCAAGTATACACAGTGTATAGCATCCAGGGACCAGAGAACCTGCACCAGGCTCCACAGGGTGCAAGCAGGTCACCTCTAAAGGGGAATGTGACATTTTAAGTTTCCCAGGTGTTCCTGAACTCTCTTCTGTGACCTCTGTACGTCACTGCAGATACTGGTCAGTCAGATAAACAGAAACACCACTTTCAGGCAACTCTGAGCTCTGCAAGGACAATGAGGGAGCCTCAGCATCACTGGATTTTGGCCCGTTGCTCATTCTTCAAAAGATGTTGGTCCTCTTCATAACAGCAAGATCTGAGCAGGTCTTTGGCAACTCATGATTAGGGGAAGGCATGAGGATGGAAAAAGGGCACAGGAAAAGGGCAGAATCCTGCTGTGGATCTCTGTTACAGTACTGTCACAACAGCTCTAGGTTTCAGTGTAGAGCAAGAAAGGTTAAAGCTCATCCTTGGCCTTGACAAGATGTTGCAGTGGACGAATTGGAATGACTTGATCTCTCAGCAACTGGTCCCTTGACCTGTCGTGGCTGTCAGGGGGTCTGTCACCTGAAAAGTCTGTGAGAGTGTAATCCTGCAGTAGTCCAGCTTGCACCGCGTGGCGCCGGAGCCCCTCGCTGCCCATGAGCCCCTGCATCCTCACGTATCCCTGCTGGCAGAAGGGGGGCAGCTTCTGATGGGTGAAGGCAAACAGGAAACAGGACTCTGCAGGGGAAAGGATCAAAAATCAGATTCAGCAGAGATACCCTGTAGGGAAAAATTCCCATAAACTATCAAGGACTCATTCAAAACACAAGGCAGAGAGGATGAGGGAAGATGACTGGAGTTTCCCACGCAGGACCCTGCCCTGGGTGGCAGCACAGTAATTGAGTTAATTCTGCAGAGCCCAGGAGATGCAGAGAGGAATCTCCAGTCTGCAGTCTGAGAGAAAAAGGATCTGGATTTGAGGTTGTGTCCATCTGGCATCCTCTTTGTACCACAGGATTGCTTCTCTCTGTTGCCACGTGGGCTTCCTGCAGGAGGTTTCCAGACCAGTCTTCAGACCAGGAAGGGAGGCAGCAGAGGCTGTCTTCAGCTTTCACACCACAGCACTCCCATTTCCCATGGGAAAGCAATCCCATCATCAGTACATAAGATCTAGTACCCAATAGTACAAAGAAATGTTCAGATAATGGAGAAGGGAAGCTGCAGCTAGAAAGGGATTGTACCCAACCTCATATACCTTTCCCTAAATCCCGGCATGCCTGGGCCAGTCTCTTTCTAATGGTGAGCAAGAGCAAAGGCTCTTTGGAAACACACACATACAGAACAGCACTTTTTACTGTCTGGGGACTGTGCTGAGGTGTGACTGATGGTGAGACAAGCAACTCACCACAGGAAGATCTCAGCTATCTGCAGAAGAGATCCATCCTGTCTTTTGTCCCTCACATTCCTCCTCCTCCTCCTGCCGCCTGGACTCTGTGCTCAAATTACCTGCAAAGAAACTGCGCAGGTCGGTGCTGAGGCAGTTCTCCAAAAAGCGCCTGAGTGGCAGGATGTGAGCATTTGGGGCTGTCCAGTCTGTCAGAAAGTCCTCCACAATGTGATGGATGGCATCTGGACGAGGGAGAGGCCACTCTGGCGGCCGGAGTTTCATCTCACGCTCTGCCAAGAGAACATTAAGGGAGTCTCTTAGAAGCAAAATGGCATTAAAAAGAGCTTGAGGAATGGAAAGCAGCTGTGACAGCTGTTTCAGCTTTTGTCCTGACCTTTTAATCCCTACCTTACTTTCATTTGCAATCCCCTCTGCTAGCTCTGTCCTCAACAGCCCTGCCACTGCACAGCTGCCCTCTGTCCCTGCTCACAGCATTCCTGTCATTTCGCTCCTGTTCCCCCTGGGCAGGGACTGCCAGACGGCCTAAGCTGTGTTTAATGCTGCTACACATCATGCTTGTTTCCGTGCAAAGCAGGCTGGACCATGACCCTAGGTTTCTGGGGATGAAGACTCAACACACTCACTTCCCAAGGAAATCTATTCTGAGCATGTTTGCTTGCTGGATATAACACTCCTCTTCAAACCCTTGCCTTTGGCTGCCTCTATGGCTGTGTGACCTCTCAGACCTGGGTCAGCCACATAGAGAAGCTTTCTTTTGGCAGCAACACTGCCAAACAACAACAGCCCAGCCTCATCTGCCAGGCTCTGCAAAACACACACAGGGTGCCAGCCAAAGGGAAGCAGTGTTCCGCTTTTTGGGAATGGGGAAATTTCCAGCACATCTGTTTGCTCCTATTTTCAAATGTGAGGTCTCTGGTACCAACCTCCTATCCCCTGTACTGACCGATGGAAATTTCTTGCCAACTGCCAGCTTCTTTTTCAGCTCATGCAGTGGTGGGCGGGTGTCTCAAAGGATGGACATGAGGGAAATGGAGAAGGGGGAACAATGCCTTCAGGTACCGCCCCTCCTCTGGCTCTGAACTATCTTCATCCCTCTCTGTTTCGCTTGTATCACATAGCTAGCAGGAAAACTCACCTGTTGGGAGGCGTTTGTAATAGTAAATAACAGGGTGTAGAAAGTTGGACTGCCAGGCATGCTGTGCTTCTCCCACGGCACGGTTGTAGTAGAAGACATCCTTGTCAGCCCCAGAAAAATTCCTCCCATACTCCATGATGATGACAAAGAGCCCATTGGGAGCCTTTCTCCCAGTCTGCATTTCCAGCTCGGCTAGGACTCCAGTGGGGTACTCTTCCAGGTATTCAAATGCTGTGGCATTCCTGTGAATTGCAACCACACCATCAGACTTTCCCACCAGACAAAGCCAGCTGGGATCTAACCCACCCTCAGCTGGGTGAGGATAAGGCCAAAAAGCCATCAGATAGTAATTTTTTTTTCTGGTCATTACAGATCTGGGCTGGACTTGATGCAGAGCTTATGAAGGCTGCAGATATTGTTACAAGACTCCATTATTTTCCTGGATTATGGGACTCTTCTTTACATTAGAACTGTTCAAGGAAACTCTTTTCCTGGGGACAGTAAAAGAGTATTCCATCGCTGAGCCTGGAGGGAAGGTCTGGACCATTCCAGCCCTTTAAGAAAGGGAAGTAACTGGCAGAAGTAACTGGCACCAGTTGTGGCAGTGGTACAGGTCTGGGGTGGCTGCCTACACGACTTAGGCAGCAATCCGTGTGGTGGCACCATGGGAAGCAATGGTAAAGAAAAAGAAACAAAATGATGGGAGTGCAGTGCTGGGAATAATTATTCACTCACTCACTCACTCTCTCAGCAGTATGATGTCAGCTAGGACACTGAACATCTGGTAGAGGCCTGAGGCCTCGTTCACCCGCTTGATGATGGAATTGGTCAGCTGTGTAATAGGGTAGACTGTGGATGGCCAGGGGACACCATGGTGACGGTTTTCCAATAGGCGATGGACCGCGCGAGCTAAGACATCGAGAGAAACAAAGACAGCTTAGTTAAAAATCCAATCTTACGCTTTTAAGAAATCCAATCACTCTGCTGCGGCGCAGGACTCAATAAATAAGCTTTACAGCTCCTCTGTGCTTAGGATCTCCCACCCCAATCGCTGGTAACTGCAGTGGAGACGCCCTCTGAAAGCTGATGTGATGCTAAGTGGTGGGGGAGGGGATGGGGGGTCCTCAGGTATATTTCTTTACTTCTGAAAAGTCCTTTAATGATAAGGATGGGCAAACACACATAAAGAAGGAAATTTTCTCTACTGCCCACAGCTGCTGGGTTTTAACTCCACAGCACAGACCTCTCACCCACAGCCAGTCACGAGGCAGAGCATCTGGCAGGAAGAAATCTATTGTGTTACATAAATAACAGACAACAGGCAAGAGAGACACAAGACAAAACAAAGACAGACAACCAAAAACTTCAGATATGACCCCAAGTCACTTCTCCTCCACTTCAGATGATGCAGATGCAGCTGCAGCTTGACTGTGTTTTGTCATTGTTATTGCCAGAACAAGACTAAGGGTGATCTCTTTCCAGCAGTAAGCTATGGACTGTTCCTTTGAAGAGAGGAACAATTTCCACCTCTGCCCTTTCTGTACACCCCAGTTACTCACTTGTATACCGGAATCCATGGATGAAGCCCCCAGCAGATTTCCTGAAGTCAACAGAATGGCTAGCAGTGCCGAGAACAAAAAGCCCCCGAGTGCCTCTGGACTCATAGCTGGGTTTGATCTGAGGATACTTTTTAATATTCCCTTTTCCTGGTATCATTCTAAGGGATCTGATGTGCAAAAGAGAAGAGCAGGCTGTCAGGAAGGATGGGGGTAGCAAATAAAAAGGGCTTCTGATACACATTATATTGCAGCCACTGCAAGACTTTGCTTCATACCCCTGCTGCCCTCGGTGGGGTTTACTACTAAATGAGGATCTTCAGAAGACAAGGGTGCTCATCCCAAGGTAGCTCTGGACAAGATCCAATTCCAGGCTGAGCCACCGACAGTGAATTCCGGAAGACAGTGAAGTTAGCAGTGTCATTTTCAACTGCAGGATGCACCAAGGTGGAGTGAAGGTTGCATCCTCAAGGAAATTTGTTTTCCCCAGAAAAAACCTTCCTGTAGTGATCTGCACCTGTACCATCGTCATTTCAAAAAAACCCCAAAACATTGCTAGCCTTCTCCATGTGATCTGGCAGGTCAGGATGTTAAGTTCTAAAGGCACAACTTTTTCTGTGTCACTCGGTCCCAGCACTGCCATCTGCTCAGCCTTAGAGTCTGTTGGTCAGAGGGCAGCAACAAACACATTCCCACTGAGACACAGCCTTACTTGCAGGGTAAACAGAAGACTGTGCAGCACCAGGTAGCTCAGAGCACATGGAGGTCCAAACAATGCTGCCAGGAGAGGACCTGCCCTTCCTTTCCCCCCCTGCTCAGGCCCTTCAGTCTAAATAACCTTCTTCCCTGGAGATCCTGGTTCTCCCTCACCTGTTATAGATGGAGAAGTCAAACTTCCAGCCCAGGCAGCGGATGACACGGTCGTAAGGTGCCCGGGTGGCAAAATTGTCCAGTTCATCCTGCGGGAGGGTGATGGAATCGATGCCTGCGCTGATGTTCCCATTCTCCAGGTAGAACCGGAGTGTGATGTGCAGCTTTCCTTTTTTGTCCTTGACAATAGCCAGATCTTCCAGGTCGCCCTCCAGAAGCCCATCCAGAGATTTCAGCTGGTAGGTGTCCAGCAGTCCATTGTTAATTGCTCTACGAAAAACAGGAGAACATAAGAAGGGCTAAAAGAAGGGAGGTTCTGTCTTAGCTGCTGAAAATGGGATCAATTGTCAGGCATCCCAACTCCTCTTCAGCGTAAAGGTTATCCCCAGAGCCTCAGAGCACAAAGGAAAGGCACAGGTAACACAGCCTCGCTGCCCTCGCTGCAGGGTGTAGCCAACCTCTCAGCTTTCCTCTGGGATTGCAAGCAAAGGAACAACTTGAGAGCCAGCACTTTTTAATGATACAGTTTCCAAGTGGACATGTTTCTATTTCACACAGATCCCAAAAAGCTCTCATCATGCTTCTGTGTTCAGCAACCGCAACCTGGATTGTTTTAAACCACGGACCTACAGAAGGCCCCACATTTCCCCTGTGCCTCTCAGGACCACAGCAGCACTACCTGCACAGTCCAGCCTGTCGCCTGGGAAAGAAGTGATTCTCCTTGTTTGTACTTCAGCTGCATCACAAAGAGGAACAGAAGCAGTTTCCTACCTCAGATCCCCGACGTAGTGGGTGGCCCAGGAGAGGCGCACGCGGGACCGGCTCACCATGTGGATGAAGTTCGTGACCCCCAAAATGTTCTCTGCCGTCTCAAAGGCTGAGTTCCCGCGTCCCAAAATCAACACAGTCTGGCCAGCAAAATCCTCCGGGTTGATGGACACAGTCTCGTAACCCTCAACATATTCTGAGCCAGGGAAGTTTACCACATTGGGGACCCACGTCCCAGTGGCAACCAACAAAGAGCTGTAAAAACAGGGATAGCACTAGGGAATGCAGGAATTAGAGGAATGGGGCTCCATCTCAGCACTCCTTCCTCCTCCCGCTGTGAAAGATGGATGTGATGTGCCCCCCACAGTGATGCTGGACCAGCGGCACAAGCCATGGTTTCAAAAGAAACCTCTACCCAGTTTCACCTAATGATCTGCTCCTCTCTTCCCTCTCCTCAGGACAACTAGGCATGTTCTTATATATAGCAAAAGTCAGTGTGGATGCTGTACATACACATCTTACTCCATTGTTCATGAATGCAAGTTCTGCTCATATGTATTCACTGACAATATATATAATGCTAAAGTTCCACACATTGGTTATATGATGCATAAAAAATGACTTTGATTTAAAATTTGAGTTGCCTTTTAGTAGAGCAGGATAGAAGTAATTTTTAAGGCAGACAGGATATGGTTTTGATATTTTGAAATGTAACTCCCAGCCATAAAAACATGTTAGCAATGTCACTAATTGTTAACAGCAAAAATGAGTACAGTGATCTTTTTATATCTCTCCGTAAGAGCTTTTGCTTGATTCTTGGGGAAATGTTTGTGACTTAGATGGAAACGCCAGGCAGCTGAGGCAAGCAGCACTGTCTGCTGTCCCAGCCTTGATTACACAGCTCCGAAAAGCAACTTGCTTGCAGTACGTGGGTGTCCGGGATTGCCTTCTGTCCCCTCCGAGTCTGCCAGCAGCACACCGGCAAGTGACAGCCAGCACGACCTGTGTCGTAGAGCTGAGGTTCTCAGGAGAGGTGGGAAATACACTCCATATGTTCACATGAGTAACTTCTAGGTTTTTAGGAACGTAGCTCAATGACAGTACAGGATACACATGCGTAAATATGATGAGGGGAAGGGGAGTTCAGGGACCAGCAGTGTTGAGGGTTATTTCTTATAGTCAGCCCCACTTTCCTCTGGTTCCCCTCTGTGTTCCAGCTCTGTCAGCCCACGGCTCAGCTTGGCTGGGACACAGTTCTGAGCTGAGACCTAGGAGTGAGGTATCACTGCACTGACTCACTCTCATTTTCAATAAATGAAGTGGTGGCTACGAGTACAACTGTGTTACTTTTTTCACAGACAGCAATTATCTAGTGATAAAACAGAAGTGATTTCAAGTTTACCTATCAAGGATGGACCCTGCCATGATGGCCATTGCAGCCTGTTCATGTCTGCCCTGCCCTCAGCTGCTCAAGGCAAAAAACATTGCTCATGGAAGGCAATGTCTTCCCAGGAGCACTTATTCCACTCATCCACCCGCTGACCCCACAAAATGTTTTTCCCTGTGATGGTGGTTAAGGCTCTAGGAGGCTGTGAAACCTCCATCACTGGAGATATACTCATGCCTCAACAGGGCAAGGCTTTGAGCAACCCAACAAAATGGCCTTCATGGGTGGGCCTCTTCCAAATTAACTTATCCTGTGATTTTATGACCTCGAAGATGACCATGTAGAGCCGCACGACGAGCCCCAGGTTTGCCCTTTACCTGCACTTGTAGTTCTTCCTGTCCTGGTCAGTCAGGAGGAAGTAGTGGCCATTCCAGGCCTGCTCGTTTCTCTCCAGCGTCACGTGGATGATGGCTGTGTTGTACTGAACCCGCAGCTCCAGCAGGGATGCAAAGTCCTCCAGGTAACGCACCATCGTGTCAGCGTGAGGGAAGAAGTCACGCGAGTAGTGTCGGAAAAGCAGCCGCCTGTCATGGCTGAGGAGTGAATTCCAGTCGTGGCGGAGATTGAACTCTCTGTTGGATTTGCCCGTGTACTGCTTGTTGATGCTGATGAGCTTGCGGTGGCGAGGGTAGAGGGCGAAGAAGCTGCCAGGTGCATGGCTCCGCTCAAAGACAATGTAGTCCCGCCCGGCTTGCTGGAGGAAATAGGCTGCCTGCAGGCCCGCGGGGCCAGCCCCGATGACACAGTAGTCGTGGTAGAGGAAAGTGGTGCTGCTCAGTGCACACAGGGCCAGTCCCAGGAGTGTCCCACAGACCAACATGGCCATGGCAGGGCTGGCACCACCACCCCTGCGGGGAAGAGCACCAGGGAAGCGTCACCTTGGGGACTACAGCCTCCATGCAAGAGACACCTGATCCCACCAGTGCCCACCTGCCCCTGCCCAGAGACCCCCAGCCCCGCCAGTGCCCACCCGCCCCTGCCCCGGCCCAGCCGCCACAATGTCCCCACCCAGGGCAGGTGCTGAGGCGGGGCCCTGCCCCCTGCCAGCCAATAGCAAAAGGGGCCCCAGGTTCCCCAGCCAACGGGCGCACAGCGCCCCCGGTGGCAGCGTACAGGTGGGAAGGTGGGGCAGCACCTGTGGATTAATGGCCGCGAGCGCCTCTGCGCCCCAATAGCCAATGGGAGAGGGCGGCCCAAGCCCACCAACCAATGGGCGGCGGGGCGCCCCGCGCTGCCCTCGCTGCCCCGCCAATACGGCCCGGCCCCGGTGTCCCCGCCCCCGCCAATGGCGCGCGAGGCGCACGTGACGCGCGGGGCCGCCGCCGGTCGCGCAGACCCGTCCGGCCCGCGGCCGCACATGCGCCACGGAGCCCCCGCCGCTCCGCTGCTCCCGCTCCGGGCTCCTCCCGCTCCGCTCCCTCCTCTCTTCCGCGCCGCCCGGGCGGGGCGGGGCGGGGCGGGCACGGCGCCGCCTCCCGCGCGCTGCGGGGGCGAGCGAGGGGGGCGGTGCGGGCCCCGCGCGTCACGTGACGCGGCCGCCGCCGCTTCCCGCCGCCGGCACCGCCGCGCGCGCACCACGTGTCCGGGGGCGGACCGCGCTTAAAGGGGCAGCGCGGGAAGGGGGGCACGGGGCACATCCACAGCACATCCACACACACACACACATCCACACACACATCCACACATCCACACATCCACACATCCACATCCACACACACACACACACACACACACACACACACACACAGAGAGCGCGGCCTCACTCCGCAAAATCAACTTTATTTCGATTTCCCCCCCGGTTATCATCGATGTGCAGCCATTGCCCGCCTGCAGGGACGGGGCTGCCTGTCACTGCTGCCCCTCGGTGCTGGCTGCAGCATTCAGCTCTCTTCCTCTGAAACAGAAGACAAATAGCAGTGAAAGGAATGCAGCTGGGGAAAGAAAACCACCCAAAAACCCAGAATAAACCATGTCTGTCAAGGAAATGCCACAAGGAACACGAAAAACCAAGGCTGACACTTCAGGGAGATTTATCCCACCTCCAACTGCCTGTCCGTCCCTCATCCCACCTTCCCAACAAACCTGTCCCTCAGCCAAGACCACACACACGTAATTTGGAATTACACAATTTACATTCCTGAGTAAATTACGCAGAGACCTAACTAACATTTCCATAATAAAATCCAGAGCAGCCATGCCAAGTTTACAGCCTAAGAAGCCATACAGATATCTTGTATCAGGGATCGCAGATGGTTTTAGGCAGTGAAGCAAAACCAGCTGTTGTCCACAAGGCACCACCAGTCCTCCAAAACTCTCATCCTGACTAGCCAGCGATTGCTCTGCTTCAACAGTCACTTCAGGAAAGCCTTCACTGAGTTACCTCAATTGTGCTTCATCACCACGCGTTTTAAATGTGTCATCTGATAGTCACTGCCATTTCTAAAACTAGTCAAAAAATATCCCAGTACCAACAGAAATCAGCACCCACCCACTCCCGCAAATCTTGGGGCTGCTGAATGAAGGCCTTGGCAGGCTTAATTTTCCCAGCCAGTGTTCTGGATCTGGGACCTATCTCCCCTACCCCTGGTAAAATCAGTCCTCATTAAGTATCTGTACAGAAGCACAACATCTGCATTTCCAACTCTCTGTTCTTTTTTCTTCCAACTGAGTACTCCCAATGTCACCCACACCTTTCCTTGGGACCACATGTTCTCTGGCCTTGCTCTTCTCCTGCCACTGCACTGGTCAGATCTCGTCCTCTGGCTCTGGTCTTTACCACGGGTCACCCCTTTTTATCCAGACCAGTACATCACTTAGAAGCATAAATCCCCAAGTACGGTACAAACCTTCCTCTTCCTCTTCTTCCTCTTCATCCTCCTCATCTTCATCAGAGCTGAAGGTGCCATCGGGCAAACTGTAGATGCGGATCACCTGCTTGTTGGGGTCCTTGAGGATGAGATACTTCCCCTCATCCAGCTTCATGCAGATGTCAATGACACATCGCAGGATGCCCCAGGCATTCTCTATGCTCAGATTAATCTGGCTGGCAAACTCATTTGGCTTGAACTGCTGCGTGCCCAGGATCACATGGCGGGCAGAGTCCTTCACGTGGTAACGGGATACGTACCTAGGGGGGCAAGAAGAAACCAGAGGGGTATCAGGAAATGAAGCTCAGACAGCAGAAGAATGGCAGCAAGGAAAGCACTGTGATCATCTTAGTTTTGTTTTCTGGGCTGAAAAATCCTAATACTCCAACGCTGAAAGCTAAGAGGATCTCCTGGCTACAAACTGTCAATCAGTAATGCACCTGGAAATCCCCAAATCGGATGGAGTGGTACAAAAGATACAGAAGAATTAGTCGCACAGATAAAAATTAAGCAGTAGCATGATTAGCTGGGAGTTTGGAATTAAGCATATGCAAAAGTATCAGTCCTGTGTCTGAGGGTGTGACCTAGGATTGCAGAACCACTAAAAAAGAGTCAGCAGATGCCTCCCGTTCATTACCCACAACACAGACTCAAATGATTTTAAGCTGACAGTTCAAAAAGGGCTGTGGCCATACCCTCCCCCACCACCCAATTTCTCAGTAACAGGGCACTGAGGAGGATGTCGATCGGATTCCTGACAGGCAGCACACTCACTGCCTTTATTTTCCTTGCTGGTGACCTCAGCAAACAGGCCGACAGCCACAGAGGCCACCTGCCCTTCACATGTGTGGGGTCTCACGAGGTCAGCCACAGCAAGGGCACATCAGCCTGATGCTGATGGGTAGCAGCTCACACCAAGGCTGGTGTGCTCATCACGAGCCTTCCCTTCTTGGCTACTCCAGCGTTTGGTTGTTTTATGATTACTCATTCTATAAATGCTTCATTTAGACACATATATACTGCGTTTAATCATGGAAAATGCACCTTGAAGACGTTTGGTGTGAAAACCCCACCTTACCCAAGTTTAAGATACTCTGATCCAGCCAGCAGCGCACAGCATGTCCAGCGGGCTAATTTGTAGCTGTTATTTTTCAGCTCCGTGGCAATCACAGCTCCTCGCTGGGAGTCCAACTTCTGGCGCCAGTCTACTCCATTGCAATACTGAGAGGAGAATCAAAACTAGTGTCAGTCTGACAAGCTGGGATTGCCCAACTGGTTAGAAAGGGTAGTTTGTGAGGGAAGAATTCACGAGGGAAGCATGGGAACAGACTGGCCACTGTGCTGAACCCCTGGAGACAAGAGCGTTAAAACCAGCTACATCTCATCTGGGGGAGAATCCCATCAGCACTGCTTGTCCACCAAAGTTATACTCCTTTGGTGGAACATAACACACAGGGGACACCGCCAGATGTTTGTCTTATCTTCTCTGCTGTACCTGGCATGTCAGGCAGCAGTGAAGCAGTTAGAGCTAGCTTTGGAATCCCATTCTTCCTCACCCTGGAATCCCACTCGTTCAATGTTTTGATGTTGATGAATGACACTTCTCCATTAGCTCCTGTCATCACTCCATCATGTTCACAGCGGACAATGAGATCTATATCATCTCCCAGCTTCCACCTTCGGTATCTGCCAACAAACAATCCAGCTGGTTATTCTGACCTTTATTCTCTTCCAGATCCATGCAAGCACTCAGCAGAATCTTTTCCTCCTCTATCTGTTCCCTGTGAAGTTATCCACAAATCCCTCTCAAGGTAGACCTCCTATCAATAACACTCCTAATTTGTTTTGCCTCCGTATCACACAGACATCCTGCCTCCTTGCCAAACCTTGGCATCAGAGCAGTATCAACATACCTGTATGCAACAGAGGCTACTTCGTTTTTATCCATGTCATCCTCCACAAAGGGGTTTGGGTTAGGAAACTTATATTTCTCCTTTCCCTGCAGATGAAAACAGAAGGGCATGTTAGGAGAAAAAGCCTGAGACAGCTCTCCCCTACTGGAAAAATATTCTTTTACGGCAACAGTTTTTCCCTTATACAGAAAAACACCAAAACATAAAACAGCTGATGAGAAGCTTCATGTTCATGTTAGTCACAGTGCTATAAGCAATACTTGTAATGGCACTTCAGCTTCAGTAAGTGTACTCAGAAGCCTGTTTGCATCACCAAGGGCAGTGAGATGATTTCTCTCTGAAATAAGGATGAAAACTTTTCTACAACAAAGTCACACTGCTCACCAGAAGTAATCCCACCTCCTTCAAAACTGAAAGAACATCAGTGTAACATAACTGTCAATTAAAATCCTTCTGTGCTGTATTAAAGCAGCCTTAATGAAGTTTCAAGACTCTCTGAAATACAGGCCCTACTATTTAGCACTGCTCCACCTTACCATCCTCAGACACTGCTGGGAGAAGTTATGATTGATGTAGGTAGCTTCCATGGCAAGGTTGCGTGGAGAATTAAAGGAGTTCCCCTCTTCCTGTGGTGGTTCATTGGCTGTTTCACTCACTGTCAGGAGGTCTGAGAAGAAAACCAGACACAACTGGTTATACTTGGGGGAGAAACTATGTCAGCTTCAGTGAGTCTCTAGCCACACAGTGGAGCAGATCAATACTGAAGTTCCCCCCACAGCTATCAAGTGTACTGCAGTAATCAGATTGTTCAGTGCTCTCAGTCTGGACACTGAGACACAGAATAAACTCAAGTAAGCATAAAGAAAATTAGACCCTTTAGCTACTGCAACAGAAATTTCTTTCAGGACTTTTCCTCACCAAAATCTGAGTTGTCCCTCTTGTCAAAGAAAAGCTTGGATCCAACTCTCTGGACAATGATGTCCCAAGAATAGACAGAGCGAGTGCAGCTCATCAGTGTGGCCAGGATGGCATCTGTGGCAAACACATTCCCTTGTGTCTTGGCCAGCTATGGATACAAGAGGAGGAGAAAACTGTTTCAGCAATAAGAACAGATACCCCTTCCCTAGCCAGAATGAGAAGTGCTAGCAAACCAGATCCCTGATTTCTTCTCCCATTCTGAGGAAGCTGGACCAGTAAGTACCCCGCTGACTATTAGACAAAGCATGAGGTACTACTCAGCAATCCTGGCCCACCCTCATCTACACAAGTGGAAAGCAAGAAACCACTATGAAATGTGTGTTGGAAAATGCACGGCTCTTTATTGCCAGTGAGGTCACAAGAAAGAAATCTCTGAGCCTTCCTCACCTCCAAAAGCAGAACCCTCAAGAATTACGTCTCTTGACATAAGAGTTTCCTTCCCAACAAGTACCAGTCTGCCTGACCTCCCAGAATTACAGATTTTCCTTGGTCAGTGTTCTTAACTTTGCATTAATCTAGCTCTGCCTTGGACCTAAGAAAAATGATGATACCAGCTAACACTTCTTTATTTTTGCCCTTTGGTGTGACGGTGACAGCTGGTCTCCAACAACAGCACACACTGAGAAACACACTACTGGGTTTTACA